GCCTGGATTTCAGGAATTTTGTTTCCATACTCGTCTGGATTTCCAGATTCTGTTTCTCCATATACAGTTGGAATTCCTGGGTATTTTCCCCATCATACAGAGTGCTGGAAATCCGACCACATCAACAGGGGGGGGGGGGGGCAGATATAAACTGGAATGGCCGAATGGTGGCCACTTTTGTGCTAAAAAATCATCAAATATCAAGCATTTCTGGCATTTATGCATGGATTTCGTTCAAACTTGGTACATATATTAGACATTACAGGTTTCTGATGCACATCATTTTATTTTTCAGATCAGATTCAAAATGGCTGTCTGGTGGCCATTTTGTTTTAATGAATGGGCTTATAGAGCCATATCTCCGACTTGTTTTGACCGATTATGTTCAAATTTTAAATATTCATTATACATCATGTCATAGATAGACAGATATATTAGTTTGACGATCCTATTCAAAATGGCCGAATGGTGGTCATTTTTGTGCTAAAAAATCATCAAATATCAAGCATTTCTGGCATTTATGGATGGATTTCGTTCAAACTGGGTACATACATTAGACATTACGGGTTCCTGATGCACATCATTTTATTTGTCAGATCAGATTCAAAATGGCTGTCTGGCGGCCATTTTGTTTTAATGAATGGGTTTCTAGACCCACATGTCTGACTTGTTTTGACTGATTATGTTCAAATTTTTAATATTCATTATACATCATGTCATAGATATACGAATACATTGGTTTGACGATCCTTTTCAAAGTGGACAAATGGTGGCTATTTTTGTGCTAAAAAAATTCTCTAATACATTTCTTGCATTTATGGATGGATTTTGTTCAAACGTATAACATAGTGATACATTAGACATTACAGGTTCCTGATGCACGTCATTTTTAATCCCCGTTCGGACGTAGTCCGAAAACGGGGACTTATGTTTTGCCCTGTGTGCGTCCGTGCATCCATCTGTCCGTGATCACCTGTATCTCAAACATGCATGGACCGATTAAGTTCAAACTTCACTCATACATCACACATTATATGGGACATATGCACATGCATTTTTTTCATGATCCGATTAACGATAGCCGAATAGCGGCCATTTTAAGGCCGAAAATGCATCAAAATCGCACATTTTCACCATTCCGGACCCGGATCTCAGTTATGCATGGACGGATTTTGTTT